TTAAAGAAAATTAGTAACCATGGTTATGAGGTGTCTGAGAAAGACCGTAGGAGTGACTAGAAAATACAAAATGAGGAATGACGTCATACGAAATCAAGTAGGCACAGAACCAATTCTTAATTACATACAAAGGCAGTAAATCAAATGGTTTGCCCACTTGGAGAGAATGCCTCCAGATGATATACCATACAAGGCATATTACCAAAAGAGCAGAGGGACGAAGAGCAAGAGAAAGTCTAAGAGCAAGATGGGAAGATAACATCAGAGAAACTCTACAATACCACGATGTGTCAATAGTTGAGGGAGCCAGAAGTGCACGAAGCAGGCCCTTATATCTCCCTCGACTCTCGGAGCGGTACAAGAGGACATACAGAAGAAGTATGTATTTCTGTGAGGTGGCCCATTTGCGATTGGGTTGAAACCCTGACAAGAGAAAGACGATACTACCAGTGGACAAATCCCATCAAGAGATTGTCTAGACCAGTAGTTCTCAGCCTTCCAAATGTCTCGACCTTTGAACACAGATCCCCCTGAAGACTCCCAACCACACAATTATTGACCTTGCTTCTTAATAGGTTCAGGGAATACGAGTTTTCCTATGGTCTTTGTCGACCCCTGTGAAAGGGTAGTCCCACCCACAAAAGGGTCGCGACCTGCAGGTAAAGAACCGCTGGCCTAGACGGAAAGAAAAGAAAAAACACCATGGAAATGAACCACGAAGAAGATGAAGGAGACTACAGTATTCTCCATGCATTTAGCATACGACTGATAAAATATTGCTCTTACCGTCTGAATTGTAGATCCTCACTTTGTACAGAATGTACGGAGAAGAAAAGGTGACATCCCACGACGATCCCGATGCGTGGTATGTTGTGCGTATGCACGAAGACGGCCCTGTGTCTCCATCTACTGCCAGTCTGGCCTCCTGGTGGTCATAAGTGGATGATTGACGGGCGCTTTGGTACAAGGCTGCATTTCGACCTGAATCCCAACAATGCAAAAGCTGTGCCAGTTACCGTAGAATACACATGCCCGGCTCTCTAGCGTAGTTGTCTAAACCGGATTGCGCGGAGACCGGGTGACGAACTCCTTTTCGTCCGGGTTCAATCCCAGGGGTAGGCAGGAAAGCCACATTTTCCCAGATTTACGGTATTTACAATGGAATCAAGGCCGAAAGGTTGCGATATCAATAAAACCGAGCCTAAGGGTTAACAACTCATGGCTTCTGGATATTAAAACAAACAAAACAAACATAGAATACACATCGACAGGCAGAAGAAGAAGAAGAAGAAGAAGAAGAAGAAGAAGAAGAAGAAGAAGAAGAAGAAGAAGAAGAAGAAGAAGAAGAAGAAGAAGAAGAAGAAGAAGAAGAAGAAGAAGAAGAAGAAGAAGAAGAAGAAGAAGAATAAAAGAAGAAGAAGAAGAAGAAGAAGAAGAAGAAGAAGAAGAAGAGGAAAAATGGGGGTGGGGGTCTTAAGGTACCTGTGTCCCTTGACACCTCCACATATGACGGGGCTACCCAACATACTTAGACTTGAACACATCGACTTGAATCAGACTAGTACTCACTTTGAAGACTTCATCTACTTCTTCTTCAGCATTACCTTCGGGTTCAAAGCTGTGGATATCGTCTGCATCCGTTTATCTTTGTGACTGTTCTTCGCTTTCCGGTAGGCGGCACCAGATGTTTGCTTACGTGCCTTTGTCTCTCCGCAGACTCCTTGGTCTGCCTCCTGGTCCACTCCCGTTCAACTCTTTTGTGTACGCAGATGCTCTTCCTCTGTCATTTGTCAATCTCTCTACATGCCCCAACCATTGTAGTCTATTAATCCTGATGATGCCAGTCAAAAGCGGTGCTTTTAACAGATTATTAATGTTTCTGTTGCTTCCCACTCTCCGTCATGGCTCCTGGAAGTGGTGGGGGTTAAGCTGCCTGGTCTCGAGGTATGGTGTCTGTCTCGAGTGCTAGAGGTTCTGGGTTCGATCACTGGAATTTTTTTTTACTTGGACTTGTAAGTAAAGGACTCTTCTTCACGCCTTTAGGCGTATAGAGCATATAGGGCTAGACCTATATTTTTATAGACCAATCGGCACAAAATGGGTGATGTGTTCAGCATCACGCCGGCCGCTTCTACTTCCCGGGACTGCACCCGGTACCCATTCAAGGCTGGGTCGACCTGGGAGTCAAGATCGTTTACGTGGACTTGGACTTCTAGTTATTCCCCCTGGTCTCTGGTTATTGAGATCGGACTCCCGTGTGCATTGTTAGGCACGTAAAAAAAATCCCTTGGTAGTTGGAAATCGAAACGAGTAGCCTAAAGGCACTGCACAGGAAAAATTTAGACTTAAAGTATCTAAGGATCCTCGCCAGTGCTACAGAGCCTGTGCACTGTGCTGAGCTTTTTCGGACTCAGACTTGAGTTAGACGTAGAACGGAGCACTTATGGGTTAAACTCGTGTGCCATTATATTGATCCATTGCTCAGAAACCTTAAAACCTC